TGTTAAGTGCCAAATTTTTATGTATGTTTATGTCTTTATGCACAATGACTACGCATGGTTATCTATATAAAGGTGGACGTGGCGCTATACCGATTAACCGTATTGGTAGAGGGGTGGTGCCTACGTCCTCCGCATGTTGCATGCAACCGTATTTACCTTTCTTAATTTATCCAACCACACCCTCAAAGTTTTCACATAATATTTTAATGCATGGATTCGTTAAAAGCTTTAAGAAACTGTATTTTAATAGTAGACTAGAAACACGCCACTTAACGAACAAGGCCACTAAACGAACTGAGAGAGTGAATGACGGTTTCCTTTGAGTTTTCAATAATTTACAGTAATTCGATTTGATCAAAAACATCAAAAAGATGAAAGTCAGTATATTATTATTATATCCAAATATTATATATGCGTTATCCAAATATTATATATGCGTTACATATAATCAAACCTTATGATGCAGTAGCATTTGGTCTCAGTTAACTATTCCTGCCGGGCTAATCGTATAGTGTAACAAACGCGGCCACTGTTCCTGAATATGTTGTAATATGCACAAATTATATTATCCGTAAGGGCTTACATTTGACTTCTTGAAGGAAATATCCGTTTTCCCGTCACAACCGACTCAAGGTTACCTCATTCTAAGACGTGACAACCTTTGTATTACCTGGTGAACATTTAGAAAAATGCGTCTATTACATTGCCATTTAGTGTTATTACACAATAGCCGCAGTAATAATAGGCGTCAGAGATACATATCGATTTTGTTACAGATTTAACATCGCAGGTTGTAACGACAACATTAGAATTTTTCGCTCGACGCGACTTTTGCTCAACTATATATTCGGACAGCTCTACCTACTTTTACAAATTTTAAAAATCCTCAAGTACAAATTTTAAAAAGCAAATATTTCAGTAATTTAACTCCATTTGTATGCTTAAAATTACGGCAAGGGATAAATGTATGAAAGCAGTTGAATGTTACGTCTTAATTCAGGTTGCAATATAATAAGATTAAATATTTTTTGTTCCTTCCTTTGAAGATTTTAATTTATAAATTCCATATTTTGTTGAAATGAAATACTTTTAGATTAAGCGTTGCTTTTATTTTACTTATTTTTTATATTTTTTAGTTATTTTTATATTTATTAGTTATTTTTTTAGTTATGCATAAACGATTCAAAAATATGTCAATAATTAAAGTAAAACTTAAGTGGAAAATCATAGCCCCACATTTTTAAAAATTTTTAGCATTATAAGGATTTTTTTATTCCTAATTGGAAATTAATACACTTTAATAAATGATGTAACTCCCCCTCTCTCTATTCCTGTTCTAAAATAAAGTATAATTAAAAAAAAGTCTAGTTTAAATTTAGCACCTTACTTTATACGTTCATTCGAAGCGTATATTTCAAATAAATTCAGGGTAAATCTGAAAAAGTGGGCAAAACTTTAGGAGTGATAGAAGCTATATGAGCAATATTCGCCGTAGAATGTATATTCGAAACTCTAACGGCAAGCCGCTAAGTGGCATTGTAAATGTTATAACAAGGGTGGTCCTCGCACCCAACAGCATTTTCTACCCTGGATGTCTGAGAGGATGTCTGGTTATACGCATTACGAAATTTCTAGGGCGAATGGATTGGCCGAGGTGGTTCCATAGCTTGGCCACCAACCTCCCTGGATCTCTCGTTTTTGGACTTTTTCGTATGGTGCCATATGAAAAGCCTAATCTACGAAATGAATACAGATCTAGGTCAAGGTCGTCATCGCTGCCGGGGATACTCAGAAAATGCTTGATATCTTCGCAAATGTGCGTCAATCCCCTATCGCGCAAGTGTGAAGGTTTTTTGAACAGCTGGCGGAAGGTCTTTCGAACAATTTCTTTGAGTATGTACATCAATTACATTCCTGTTAATAAAATGTTTTCTGAAGTATCTTCTCTCATTCTTGTATTAATACTTGAAATGTGACAGTGGAAAACTACTCTTTAACTCCCCCCCGCTTGAGTTCCAACCCTATATTCTATGACGAATTTTACTCGTATAGCTTGCCTTCTATCATCCTAAAATTTTGCCCATTTGTTCAGATTCACCATGTATATTGTTAGAGAGGTCACAATTTAGAAATGTTTAACTTTACAATTAATTACTACTCCTACAGAAATGTACAAGACTTCTTGCATCTTAAACAAACTTAAAATTTTCGTTTTAAAATGGTCTGCAATATTAACTTTAATAAAATGGATCAAAATTGATTTTTTATTACATTGACTTGAAAGTGAATATATATTGTAGGGAATTTTAACACTTATGTTTGACAATACATTTACGTATTAAGTATAATAATTTTTAAGAAACATGTTATTTCAAACTCTATAACACATGTTTAAATATAGCGCATAAGTATTGCATAACTTCTTAACAATAATTCTCCAACGAAATTTTTCTATTCAAATTGATCAATCTCAGTCGTGTAACATGAATCAATTCATATCACATCTAATACTATGATATTTAAGGAAACAAATCCCCATACTCTATTTCGAATAATTTAACAAAGTATAGAATAAAATTACTAAATTGTGTTAATTTATTGTCTTCCCTCAATTTCAATAGTTAATGAGTTAAATAGAAAAAACTATAATTATACCTCTGTAAGTATTGTTGCAGTATTTAGCGAATTTCATTGAAACATTTTACGACTATGAAAGTTATGGCATACTAAATTAAACAAATAAATAAAATTTTAAATGCGTTGCCTTACTCTTCTACTATGCATCACAATTTATTTCATAATATATAAGCTGAATAATTAAAATTTTAAACGTAAAATACAGCAAAATGTTCTTCGCATAAGATTTTAACATTCTGTATCAGATTCCATGGAAAATCAAGCAAATTAATCTTTTGTCTTTAATTTAGTCGCAAGATCATTTGTAAATGATCTTGCAACTAATAGCTATAGCTCTGCGAATTTTAATTAAAATGATAAATTCAGTTTTAGAATCAGCAGTTTTCCTATAGTTAGAGAACAACTCATCTGATTAGTTAAACTTCGTATATTTATTTGTTTTCTGCAATACTAAGACGTAATGCATTGGAAATGCATCAGCCTTGCGGCTTTAACTCAGCTGCTCTAGTGAAATAATGACTAGGCTAGTTCGCATAAAAGATGAAGCACAACGTACCGCCTACAATGCGAAAATCTTGAAACATCATTAGAAACATTAAAGGAAAACATGGGATATTAGATAGATTATTTCTTTTACAAGAGGTATATTTTATTACTGCTACAGAAACACAAAAAAAAAAATTACTTAGAAATATGTATAATCATTAAAGAAATTTTCGCGCATTATGCCGTTGAAAATTTATCAGTAAATATACAGGAAATGTAAAGTTTATAACTAAATTTTTACAAACACCAAAAATTCAAATTCATAATTAATAAATTTCAATAAATCCTTTAAATGTAGAATAAGAATCCAAAATATGTTAAAAGAAAAATTAAAGTAAGCCATCGCAAGAAAAAACCAAAATTAAATAAAGAAAACAGAACAAGAAAGAGGAGGAATCAAGTTAACTCCAATATAAGGTCCTCAGGAGGAGGATACTTCTGAATCAGTTATAATTCCTATTCATCAGAAAATTCTTGCTTTCCTGTATCCAGAATTAGCTGATGAAACATTCCAATATATTTGTTTAATCTTAAGAATTCATTCGAAAACGCTGTTCGTCTCCAAAGCAAGGGACAATAAAGAAAAAAATACACAGTAATAACTGCTTTTATGACTATAATTAGTTCTGCTCATTAAAATATTCACCAAACTATAAAATAATACTTTGTTAAATTTCAATAAGTACTGAAGGACATGTTTGTTATTATTTTCTGCTCTTTTTATTTATGTACCCTAAGAAAAAAAAAATCCTCAAGCAACCTCCTCAAAAGCTCCTTTTGGCTCCTGAGTGTTAATTCAATTTGATATATATTTATTAACAGCTCTTTTTTTAATAAACTTATTTGATTCCTTCTTCCAAAATTCGAAATTTAGGTACATTCCAAATAAAATTCACCCATTTTTGTTTTATGATTTATTTTTAAAATTTGTATTTTTAAATAATTTTTATAAATTTTTCGAAAACAAATTCGACGTATAATCTATAAAAGTTTTACCATCATCTTAAAGTAGATATAAATATAGTAAAGTATACCGGCAAAAATTGTAGTTTTTTATTCAACATTTCTTAGGATGTACGTGAATTTACATATTGGCCCGTTTAGAAATTTGGCATATTTGTTATAAGCGATAATAACGCCAAATGAGGTTTACGCACTTTTTTAAAAATTATTTTAAACAATGAATGGTGATTTTTTTTCCGCTCGCTTACAATGAAAAGGAGGAAAGGAAAATAGTGTGCTACAAATTAAGAAGTTCGCCAATTGGATTATTCTTGGCGCAAGCTGAAAAAAAATAGGCGAAGATAAATGTTTTAATTTCTCCATAAATTTCTCACCAAGTTCAGCAAAATTTAATATTTATACATACTTTGAGTCGTAGAATAGAAATATGAAAGATCATTGGCGTGTCATTTCAGAAGAAGTCTGCTTTTTGTCAAAATACCTATATTAGAACACTGCTGTATATAAATCTAATATATATTCTAAGTCACGCTTTCGAAACATCAAAAACGGAATTTGAATTTCGTCAATTGGCCCAGTAGAACGGGAGATATAGAGCTGCCGCATTTGGTTTCGCAATGTACATATTTATGTATGCATGTATGAAATGAAAAATAATATGTAAGCATGTATGAAATGAAAAATAATATGTAGGTAAACCAATATGTTGCACTTAAATGAAAGTTTTAGCTATGTATAATTAAAGAAAATAGTGACTAGAGGAAAAACGCGTTACTTCGAACTCACAGGTTTCTGCAAAAAGAAAAACTAAAAGAAAATACATTATATCTAAAATGACATCGCTTTTTCGAAGACTTGCTTAAAATATTTAATAAAGTCAATTTACATTTGCAAAATGATGAGATGAAATTAATTAAAAGGAGAAATGTCACAGATGCTTTTATGGATTCTTCTGTCAAAGACATCTAGGTAGAGGTGAAGAAGCAATTTTGCCGCTTTAATCTCCTGTTAGCTGCCTCTTCGGAACAGTATTTGTCGCTTTCAGCAACAGCAACAGACCAGAGAGGTTCAAAAGGTAAGACTAAGTAATACAAGCTCAGTCATCCAAGCCTAAATAGTGGTATTGCGGAATGCCTTCATGTCGTAATTACCTAAAAGGAAAAGATAAGATAAATAATTATCTAAAATGAAAATATAGAACATTAAGAGTTTTCTAGGGTAGCCAAAATGTACAACTGTGAGCACTAAAAAGCAGAAAGTTAACACTTCTATTCAGAGCTTTGGCATCAACTTATAAACACGGAGAGGGATCTCCAACCAATCTCCCTTATCTGGGAAAGTTACGCATTGGTATAAGAAGAAACGAGGCAACAGATCAAGCAGCCAAGGATGAAGCTATGAAAGAAGAAATTGCCTATCTTCTTCCGATGCCAAAGGTGATTGAGATTACGAAGTTTGCCTATTGTGTGTTTGAAGCTTAGTGGATAACCTTGGAGGAACCTGATACGGGAACACAGACTCACGATCACCTTTCGAAGGTACGCTTAGGAATTAAAGACAAAATCTTTACTAATCAAACTCACCACAAATGACAGAAATTTCCTTCATACTTTAAGTTTTTTTTTTTTTTTCTAAAAAATGTGAGGAATGCTATGTGAGGATGCAGAGCTGACCCAGAAACAGGGAACACCAAGCACTATGCGGTCGATTGCTCTCTACGTTCATACTCAGGAAGTAACATCTTATGAAATTTGCATCAACTATTGCAATGACGGATATGTTTTACCCCTAAGGTGTACAATTCACCTGAAGGAGATCATAATGATGGCAAATGAGGAGCCAATCATTATAAAGACTCAAGTCTTCTGTATTCTGTACAACAGAAATGAAACTGTAAAATTGATCCGTTACGTCTATATATTGTATGTATTTTTCCACTATATATATTTTTTGTTCTAAATATGCGTGTTAAATTATGGGTCAATTGGGTCCACACTTTTAACCAGTTATCTAATCTTCTGATCAAGGATATCACTCAGTCTGGTGCTCCCTCAGCCTTAATGTCGCGTGATATTAGCGTAAGGACTGTGAATTTGTTTTCAGAAATGCCCTTCCGAACTGTTCTATTACATGATATTAAACAATATATTTTTAGGCATCAAATACAATAATTTGCTTCATTATAATTTAATTAGAACTAAGGTTATTAGCAGTTTTGTATAAGAACATAAACCAGATTTTCCGAACGTTTTGTACCGGAAGTGGGCATTTAAAGGAAGTTATCTATTCAGGAACTTTATTTTACATGAAGATTTTTTAAATTATAAGTCTTCATACAAATTTTAGATATTTTGTAATGCATTTTATTAATCTCGTAACACTTTTCCCCCCAAATTTCACATTTAGTTCAGCAATAAACTGATGTTTACATTCTTATGTTTACAAAGTTGACTGCATTCTTATTTGAGTATTTTATGAATTTGCAACCTATTTTTTTATAATTTGCGTAAAATTAAATTCTGTTTCATCTGTTAAATATTTGCAATGGTCAAATGGAGGTCCAAATGTAGGAAAAAGCGGATTAAGATAAATTAGGATAAATGTTGTTGTTACATATGCATTTATTGTTCTATACAGTGTTATTCTATACAGTGTTAAACCTCTTATCTACAGTCACAATTATTAATATTGCTGAAGAATTCCCATGCTTTCATTCTAAATTAATTTTTGCTTTAGATGCTTTAATTTACTTCAGTCTTGTACCTATAGGGTAGACTGATTAAAAAGTTTTGTTTTTAACTTTTAGCCTATTACTTTGTTTCTTTTTGTATATATTATATTATATACTCTTGTATATAGTCTTCCTTTTCTAGGTATTGTTCAATCTGAGCTGCAGTTCTAGTACATTTTTGCCTATTTTTGGAAAGAACATTTTGTCTTATACTAGTTCCTTTTCGCCTATTAACTAGTGTCAGAATGCATGTATAGCAAACAGTGACCAATGTTATCAATTCATGATATTTAAAGCAATATTTATAAAGCAAAAACTTTAAAATACAATCAATAAGTACAGAAATCAAATAGCCAATAGCGAAATTATTCTTCAAGCCCATCAAATTTAATCTAATCTTCATTAACTTCAGTAATTTAAGAAATTTTCTTTTTTTCTGGAAAACAGTAAAAAATATATTTAACTTAACTAAAACTAACGGCACATCATTTGTCATACACACGTAGAAAGAAATGAAAAACATTCCCCCCCCCCATGATTAGAAGTATGACACACAATTTCGTTAATGAAGAAAGACTTTTAAGAAATTGCAGTTTTTTTTTAATGAAATGACTGTCATTAAATGATTCTTCTTTTACCGCTGAAGTTCTTATTTTTTATTTCACAAATTTAATTTAGTACGGAAATAACTTTGCAAGATTTATAATAGTAAACAAAGTTGTCAAATGGAGTTATTTGAATTGGCGGCAAAATGTTTCTGAAAAGAACATTCGATTACCTTCAGTTTTATGTCTTATTCTATACTCATGTCCATAAATTAAGGATAATACAAAATCAGGCAAAAGAAGAGTTAGAAGCAAAACAAATTTGACTTATTTATAAAGCTTATTTATTAAACAAAAGGTAAAGAGGAAAAAAAAAAAAAAAAAAAAAAAAAGATGCTATATGTTTGATATTATTCAAAAAGTTAGCGATTTTTTATCCCTGGAGCAAATTACAAAAAAAAACCTATTTACAAAAAACCAATATTACATGGTTGGTATGATTGTTAATACATTGCATGTCTCCCAGATGATGCAATACAGTCCGTACAACGCCTAGGCATGCTGAGTATCAAATTATCGATCTGATCTTGGGGGATATTACATCACTGACGCATCTGACAGATCTACGAGCATATAGACGAATCTGTCCTAAGCGTCTGTACACGGTCTGCCTTGAAAGTGTCGTACCAGTGGCTGAAGAGAGCTGACGAGACAGGTCTGAGGCTGTGTTCCGCCTGTTTCTTTTGGCAGTAACTGCCAAATACCGGTCCTCATTCGGCTTTGTAACTCTGGGGCGACCTGTGCTGTAACGTCGTCTCACATTACCATCATCTTGGAATAGTTGCCAAAGCCTTGAGATGACACTCTGGGCAATTCCAATTTCGTCTGATACTTCCAGTTGGGTACGCCCACATTCCAGACGGCCGATAATTCTAGCACGTTAAAAATCATCCAAATGCGTCCTTTGTGTCATAAATATTCAGTTATTGCACTGAAATGCTTATGAAGCGCATGCGAACAATTTTACTTCTTTGCCTGTATTCCTTATATATATCACTCTCTTACACTCCTGTCATTGTGACGTACCATCGGTGTCATCTGGTTACTTCCTGAGATTTGCATATGATTCTTGAAGATGTGTGTAGTGATGTTACAGGTGATATATTTATTTTAGAGTACGATTTCTACGAATTATCCTACGAATTTATGGACATGAGTGTAAAAGCCACTGAAACATACCATGGGGTTTGTTGTTTCTTAATATTGTTGCGTGCGTACGGGTTCGTTATGAAATGAAAGCACAAGTCCGATGAAAAATGAACAAAAATTTATTATTATCACAACAAAAATGCTTAATTTTCTCAAATTATCATGCAGTATTACAATATCTCATAGTAGTTATCTTTTAACTACTCAAATGTCCAATAGAACGTAATTCAAAACAGCTAAAGAACGCTAATCCGCGAATTCGCTACAATCAACAACAGTAGTTTTCTAAACAACAACAAACTAAGCAACTACTACAAACTGAGATGTTTTCCTCCTTTTATAAGCTTTTAAAATCACGCGCTAGAATTTTCCAGTACTTTCTCGAAATCAAAAAGAGATATTTATTTATTTAACGCACGCGCTCTTGTATTTTTAATTTTTCCGGCTTAGCTTTCTTTTAATATTCGTCACGCGCTGCACTGCGCGAGAAATAAAACCATTTAATCTATAATTGAACTAACATTAGCTTTTTAAATACCAAATTCGTAACAATATTTTATTCACATCAGGAAGACGATAATTTTAGTATAATTGTTATATTTTAGGGTAACGTAGAAATATGTATTTAAAGCGCTAATTCAAAAGCTTTTAAATTTTATTATGTCGTCTTGTATGCTAAAACCACTACGCAGTGTTACGGCTGAAGAAAAAATTAAACAGTTATTTGAGTCAGTAAGGTTAATTTCAAATATATTAAAGAAAAAAACATTCTTTTATTCACAGGTAAGAAATTATTTTTTGCAAAAATCGCAAATGTTGTTTTCTTTGAACCAAGAAAGGCTTTACTAAATTTTTTGCATATACGTATGTGCACTGCGAAAAAAAGGGACAGTTCTATATCTTTCGTTTTACTGGGCCAATTGGCAAAATTCAATTTGCGCTTTTCCTGTTTCGAAAGCGCAAATTAGGATATATATTAAATTTAAATACAGCGTCGTTTCAACAGAAGTATTTTGACACAAAATCGGACGTTTTCCGAAATGATGTACCGTCTTTTTTGCATATTTCGATTCTGCGACTCAAATTACGCCAACATGCATTTGTAAAAATTGCAAGCGTGATTTTTAAAAAATTATCTCTCAAAATTTTAGCTCCTCAATGTTAAGTGAATTTGACATATATTTATTAATACCTCTTTTTTATTAAAGTTATTTGATTCTTCCCTTCACCTTTCGAAATTTAGGTTCATTCCAAATAAAATTCACCCATTTAAGGATTTAATTTTAAAATTTGTATTTTTAAATAATTTTTATAAATTTTTCGAAGCAAATTTTGACATGAATTTTAAAAAATGTTTCAATCATCTAATTGTGGCTGTATTTCTAAGGACACCTGCAAAAATTTAGAGTTTCTTTTATTTAAAATTTCTAAGATATACTTGCATTTACATATTGGCGCTTTTTGAAATTTGGCATATGTGTTGTAAGCGATAATAACGCCAAATGAGGTTTACGCACTTCGTTACATTTATTTCAAAGAACGAATGATGACCATTTTTCCGTTCGTGTACAATAAAAAAAAAAAAAAAAAAAAAGGAAACGAAAAAAAATAGGTTGCTATAAATTAAGATGTTCTCCAATTTGTTATTCTTAGCGGAAACTGAAAAAATGCGCTACAATATAAATTTTTGAATTTCTAAGTAAATTTCTCACCGAAGTTTACAAAATTTAATATTTATTCATAATTTGGGTCGTAGAATAGAAATATGGAAAAAATTGCCATGTCATTTCAGAAAAAGTCATATTTTGTGTCAAAATAGCTATATTAGAAGAATGCTATATATAAATCTAATACATATCCTATGTCGCGCTCTCGAGACATAAAAAACGCAAGTTGAATTTCGTCAATCAGCCGAGTAGGACGGGAGATATAGTAACTGTCTTTTTTTTTCGCAGTATACATTTGTTATCAATTTACGTTTGTGGCTTGATAAGAAATATTTTTTCAAAATTTATAAAATATTTATCGTCTGAAAGTTTTCATTTATTTACCTTGTAGAGACATTAAATATTTTTTCTGAAGCAGGCAAGATGAAAAATTAGCAACGCCTTCGCCGAGAATCGAACCTCGCCTCTGGAATACCGGCCCAGCGTGCAGAACCACAACACCATGAAGGCACGCAAAAAAGGTGAGAGAAATACCTTACATACTCCCCTTTTAAAGGGAGACTGGGATTTTTAGGGAACCCAAATCCTGGGTGTGGAGAAATCATCGTCCACCACCGTTTTATTTCCTACGCCACTGTAGAGACATTAATTTAGTTGGAAAATCCCGAGAGATGAAAAATTAACAATCGCCTTGGCCGGGAATCGAACCACAGACCTCTGGAATCCCGGCCCATCGTGGACAACCACCACACCACGAAGGCACGCTAAGAAAGCGGGAGAAATACTTTAAATACTCCCCTTTTTAAAGGGCGCCTGAGGTTTTTAGGGAACACAGTCGCCAAATCCTGGGTGGGGAGAATCCTCATTCTACACCCTTTTAGTTCGAGCGCCACTGTAGAAAAATTAGGTATTTTTTTTTTTTTTTAAGCGGGCAAGATGAAAAATTAGCGACGCATTCGCCGTGAATGGAACCTCGGACCTCTGGAATACTGGCCCAGCCTGCAGAACCACTACATCACGAAGGCACGCAAAGAACGTGGAAGAAATAACGTATAATTTATTCTCAATAATTAAACATTCCATGCAGATTGAATTTTACGTACTGCTGTGAGCTGTGGGTTCTTGGCGATTTCTTCAACGGCATATTACATAAGTAGACAGAAACGTACAATTTATTGCAGTAAATAGCAGAGGACAGAAATATAAACAGCTGTGAATAGCTATAAGAGAACGTAGAAACAAGGAAAATTCTCAACGCGTGAGCAATATCACAGAATTCCGATGTTATTCGCAGAGCAAATAAAAGCCAGTTAGGAGTTCACGATTCACGGAGCTAACTCTTTCAACAGGACTAAATTGAAGCAATTGAATAACTCGCTGACTCTCACGCAGAGATTTGTCCCGCCTTCTTAGGAAAAATTTGTTCCAATGTCTTTCAAAATGAGTTTTCCTTTAACTTTCAGATAATGCCATTTTGGCGACAAACTGTCAAGTATAATCCTTTTGAGTCACAAATTATCGTTAAGTCCCATCAGGCAGTTCTTGCTAATAACATGGCTTTTAGCTGAAATCTTTTAACGAATTAAATGTTGCTCTATTCAAAATTTAAAAAATCCAAAATTTTACAGCAGAAATAAACACAATACATGGCTACAAGTACTATTACGTAATAATACACGTTTATATTATGGGATAAAATGCAACAAACTAACAAATACATGAGTATAACAATACACAAAAAATAAATTAATGTGGCGATAACACTATAATAATATATGAACGAAATTACAATAAAAAATAGAATAAAAAATTTACAAAAATATATGCACATATGACAATGCTCAATATTGTAGTAACATACAAAAAACTAATTACAATCATATTATACTAAAATATTTACAAGAATATAACAATACATAACGTTATAGTAACATAAAAAAAAATTATCATACTGTTACCTGCTTGTGGGCTCGTAAGAGATTGAATGCGCACAGCTCCGATGATAGATTGATAAGACTTATTTTATTAGATGTATCACTTCAGAGATCTGGAATTTCGATAAAGATTGTCACAACCAACTCTTCACAATGTCACAGAGTACAATCAGTAGTTAAATTTCAAACTACTACTATGAAAGTTAAACACAACGCAATGCAAAGCGCAGCGAAAGAGAAAGCTACCCGGAGATATCTCATTACTTCGAACTCAGGCTGAGCTAACAACAACAACAACTGACAGCAGATGCTGTCTCCTAACTTAATTCCGCTTGGCCAAATGTCCTTAGGTCGGAAGCCACCCCTCCAGGAGAGTTGTCTCCTAACTTATACAGTTTTCTCTCGGCCGCCGAGACATTTCTAGCACTTTCTGCTTCTCGAAATTACTGGAAAGCAACATGAAGTTTGGATTACGGTTACAGCTAATATAGCGATCAATTACATTTATTCACTTACATAACCTATTGCGTTGATACAAGGACCGAACCGAAATGTCACCAAATGCTCGCCAGATTTGGCTACTTTTGGCGATTTCTCGTCAAATTTGACGACGAAAATTAGCTGACAAAACCGCTGGCGATATCTCTTCAAATTACCTAAATATACAATACTCAATGTTAAATGACTCTTTACTTTTCCGGCATAGCTTTTGTCTCTAGATTTTTCATGCTACATTTCGCGGAAAAATTCAACAATTTCACATATAATTACGTTAAAATTATCTATCTATGTACAATATTTGTAACAATATAGACTCAACTATTTATATAAGTACATTTATGACTTATTACATAATTCAGGTAGATCCAGATATTTATGAACTGCATTTATGGCTTATTACCTCCTTCAAATACATTAACATATGTATCGTTTTTAATTTTCTAAGAAAAATTCATTCTTCAGTACAACTAAAAAGGCTAGTTTAGACAGAAAATAATATAAATTTATGTGAAAGGATATGATAAATTACAGTTTTGGCGTTAAACAAGTGCGACATCGATTTTATAGCACAAAGGAAAGTTCATTGTTCTCATTTAAAAAAAGAAATAATAAAAGATTAATAATGTTCAAAGCAGTCGTCGGAGTAAAACTATTCTAGACCTTATTTTGGGATTCAACGTTTTATTTTTTTGTCCTCGTGAAATTATTTCCTGCTGCTATTAGATAAAGCATATAAAGCCTTCGGTATGTTTCAATAATCGTTATTTTACAACTGCTGAATTATCAATCTATACCAATTAGCGTCGCGAAATATATTTTATTTTATACCACACTACATGATTCAAAGATATTATTAGAAATCATTGTGTAAATTATTCAGAACTGCATATATTGCTTTAAAACACTTAGTTAAAAATATACTGCTTTAACTTGAAAGATAAATTAAAGATTTTATGAAACGGCTACTGGAAACATTTCTAAGAATTGGTAATTTTATGGCTGCTTGAATGATAAATGAAAGTTCTTATGCTTGGAAACGTTTCAGTTGTTGCTAGTCCGAGTGAGTAATAAATGTTTTGGTAGCGTAAAAAATAGGTGAGAAAAAATATGGAACAGCTAATCTGCAGATATTTTCATTGTTAAGAACGCAATCATATCAACAGAACATTTGAGAATATATATATACATTGTAGCGTTGCGCGCCTCCCACTTGCACGCAACCAAGAGGTGACTGTGAAAAGTGGATAAAAGACAGAGTCTTGTTAAGGTTTTAAGTCCTTTTTATCACCTATAAATTCAAGTGCGTGCTCTTGAGCTTACAGATGCGCCAACTCGGCGGTCAATAAAATATAACCTGAAAAGTAATAAAGCAGACTCTAACTACGAGGCTCTAAAGTAACTAACTCACCGGTTTACAATACCGCTGCTAATTCAGCAACTTGACACACTTACGATTAACACTACGTCCAGGCAACACCAGCCGAAACGCGGGGTCTTCATTTCTGGCCAACTACCTCCCGCTCTGAATAAGTAAGATACACCCCTCGAACTCGTTTCCTTTCTATTTAAATCAAATAATTCCGCTGTAATTGATCCTTGCGCGTATAATTAAAATTTACATACTCTGTCTGGCAGTCAGGGAAGTAGGTGACAGGAAAGATGTTTAAATAATAAATGTTAGTTAAAATAAATATAAACCCTACAACATATATGTTTTATGCGCTGGGTTTCTCATTATATAGCTCATTTTAAGCACACTTGTTGTATTTGAAAATAAAGTACACAAAGTTATTTTAAAATTGTGTTTTTCTAAATTTAGAGTTTAATTATTCAATACAGTGTTTAAAAAGCATTTTTACTAACAGACACTAGTTATTTGTGGCTAATGAATTATTTTTATGTGAAACAGAAAAATTAATTTAATTTCCAAAAACATAAATATTATTTTATTTACGACTTACGCTACAGTTATTTACAAAACATTATTGTCTGAAGAATTTCTTCTCCCCTTTCAATTTTATCTTAATGAAACAAAGCTATTTTCGAGATTACAGCACTTCCTTTACTTTGCACAAAAAAAGCAAAAATGTAAATATGTTTGAGTCAATGCTTCTAGCCTCCAAAAATTCCTATCGACATTTAAAATAACAACAAATTAGACATTTTTTTTAAGAAGTTGGCGTCAATTTGATTCACTTAGTTAGATCTTACGAATGTGTTCTGATATTCTGCTTTCACATTAGCAGCGCTAAATCAAATCTTTGTCGATAGCTTTTCTTTTCAAAAATGGCCTAAGAAAAAGTTACTTAAGAATTTTTAACCGTTATGTATTTTTGTGAAGAGATATTAAAGCCATTAGAGGTGATGAGGTAGAATTATAAAATAATATTAGATATTATAAAAATAATTTTAAGGCTCACACTATCAGCTCATATACAGAATATGATGATAATGGTAAGACAAACCCATTAATCAAGAGTTAAATCTGAAGCTCAATATTTGTCAGCCTAACAGAAGAACGTGAATACCTGCAGTGATATTTAGATGAAGAGACTCTAACGTATATTTTTTTTTAATAATCGAGAGTTAAACGTTCAGAAACTTCTTTGTCTGAAATAGATTACACTGATCCGTCCAAAACTACACATATTTAGACAGTATTGTAGCCTATTCTTTCGAGTTTTGCATTTTATCCTTTTTCTGTAGGTCTTTTTAAAAAGGTTTTGAAGTTCAAACAGTCTCCCGAAATTTAGAGAGAGAGCAAGAGAGAGCTTTACTGAAGTTTTCCATTGTGGCCATATTCAATTCGTTAATATTTTAATACAGCCGTAAGACTGTTGATACGATTAAAACGCCGATTGAAGTATCCGATAATCAGTCCTAGTTGTACAGAGCTATAGTGCGAAAAATATTTTTACTAAAATCTGATGTGTTTACAGAAAACGAACAAAACTGTCATCTGGCTTTTTAGTTATTATGAATACCCTCTGATAGGAGATTAAAGTCGGAAATTCTACTTCTATCACTGCATTTAACAAGGCAAAATATATAATAAAATATATAATTCGAACAAAAAGCGTATTTAATTGCATTTTTCTTACGTTTATAAACACCTATTCCACCACTACAAATTTCAGAGTGAATAATAGCCTAAAATCGGTTGTGGATTGCCATGTGAAAATTACAAGTAAAAAAAAAACGTATAAAGTACTGACATTTAATTATTAATTAATTAATTCCATCTAGAATTAATCATTAGTATTAATACATCTAAAATTATTAAGGGAAGAAAAGTATTAAAATATTCAAAATGGGCACTTATCTCTAGAGTTAAAGCAAACAGAAAATGTTCGAAAAATGGAGAAATTAACATTAAGAAATAACATTCCCCTACATAGTATTTTTAATTCAACAGTTGCTGAAATTTGTTAAAGTTTCTAAATTATTGAGCTTGGAAATTTATAAACATCTTATATTAGATAAGCCGAAGAGAAAATAAAAATGTGTGGGCCATGGATTCACTCAGGTGGAAACAGGGTCAGAAAGATTCTTCTTTTCAACCTTATTTCTCACAGCTTGAAACGTGCACGGTTTTTCCTTTTATTTGCTGCATTTTCTTTATCGCATTTGGTTGTTTGGCACTGATTGTGTCGCAGTTCATTATCACATTTTAGTTAAAGCGAAATTCTACTCCGAAGTGTGAATTCAGTTTAAAGTAATATGCATATGCATTACGTGTGAATTAATATTTAGGAAGTTTTAACAAGGATTTTACGCAAAACATTGTGTACAGTGAAAGTTTTGATTGATTTCGTGATTTATTTTGTTAACATTAGTGTTCAATGTTAGGAAAAGTTTGAGTTATAGTGTAAAATTATTGATCCAATTTTTTAAAATTTTTATTAACTCAAAATAGACGTTAATCACAAATTGTTGCCACCAAATATTATCGCTTTGTATTATGTGTAAAGACATTAAATAACGAAGAATCTTCATGAATGTGTAATGTGTATCTCGCATTGTGTAAAAACAACGATAACTATAGCCATCCAGTTTTGAATAACGTAATCTTCCACACTAGCATGGACACATGGGAAGCCTTAAATTTGAATTTAAAATACATTTTATTTTGTTTCACCTTTAGTAAAGCTTTAGCGAATTTTTTATTAACAAACTCAGTCATTTCAAAGCGAACAGTGGCAACACTGTATGAAGTAAAATATTTTTATCTCCAGCGCGTGAGACAATCTATCGGAAATTCTAAAGATATGCTATTTTTAAATATTTGGTGATTTTGCTTTTGAATCGAATTTTATCTCGCGTATACACCAAGAACTTGTCATTTAATATATAAAGTAAACACACAAGACTTTAATAATAAAAAGACAAAAAAAGTTTTTTAAAGGCATCTTAGTATAAAAACTTAATTTTGATACGGGGATCTAAGAAAAGACTGGAAAAACAAGAACTGTACGTCAACGCTTAACGCTGCATCGGGAACTCTAAACGCATACTGCTATGCTGCTGTTAAAAGTTTTGTAATTTTGTTGTTTAATTGTATACGGCGTAAGTACGAAGAAAATGATGCTTAATATAAAAGCTAAACAGTTAA